TTGCCACCTCAACCTAAGATAAGCAAAAACATTGCTTTGCATGCAGTGAAGGAAGATTATGATCAAGGTGAGGGGGTTAGCAAGGAAGAATTTGCCTTGTTGACTAAACAATTTCAAAAGTTTTTAAAGAAGAAAAATTTTAGAGGAAAATCTGGTTTGACATCAAAAAATGTTAAACCTAATTTTTCATTTGGAAAAAATTCTAAGGTTGATAAAATTAAAAATGCTACTGACAAGAGAAAACGTTATGAACCTTCAGGGTATGGCCATGAAGCTAAGGAGTGTGCAAACACTCTAAAGAGGATGAAGACTGAAAGAAAAAAAAAAACCAAAGCAATGCTAGCTTCTTGGAGTGATTCTAAAATTGAATCTGATAAAGAATCTAATATTATTGCTTTTGTTGCTTATGTTGATGCAGGATTAGATGAAACCAAGGACTGGGATGACGAAACAGTCACTGAAAAGTACCAGGAGTTGTACCAGGAGTTGTATCAAGACTCTCTGAAGATCAAGAAGCAAAATGACGTGCTAAAAGAAAAGGTGAAAATTCTGGAATCTAAGAAGACAAAGACTGAAAACGACTTTCAGTCTTAGGTAACTGAATTGGAAAAACAACTTGATGGTATGGTTCAAAAAGTGCAACAACTAAGGGATAGAATAAGCGATTAGAACAAGTTAATTACTTCACCATCTACTGAACGTCACACACCTAAATATCAACTTCATGAGTCACAAAGAAAAATTCATAGATTAACTATTGGTGCGGAGAAAATAGACAAAATGCTTAATATGTGTAAACCAAGTGGTAATAGATATGGTTTAGGATATGTATCTAATTCTAGTTTGTCTTCTTCAGTAACAAAGTTTGTGAAGGGTACTAACATGAATATTGCAGGTTCCAAAGCTTATGCATGTGGTGAGAAAGGTTACATAAGACCTTTGTGTGACAAAAGGGATATGAGTTATGGTAAGTCGACATCAGGTAACCTACAATCTCAGCTTGCAAATCTCTTGAAAGAAGTTGGCAGACTCTCTAAGTGAGTTAAAATTCCTAATACTTACATGGCTAAAATGAAACTTATTTGGAGAGCTAAACCAATTTCAACTAATCAAATTTGGAGAAGAAAAGAAAACCATTGTTGTTTGCTTACTCGAGTTATTGAGTCTAAAGAATTAAACATCAAGTGCTTAGTTGCCTTTACTGCTTTATTTTTATGTGATTTTGACACTTGGTATTTTGATAGTGGATATTCAAGGCACATGACAGGTAATAGAAGAAAAGATAAGTGGCTCTGTTGTGAAATCTCGTTTCCGAATTTCACCGTTATAATCTACGTATTTGTATTATTGAGATTTTATATTATTTTTCGAGAATTTATATTGATTTATTTGAAATTAGATTTCAATTAAACTAGTTACGAAGAGTAAAGTTTGGAAAATTATTATTTACTCATTGTCCTTTCGAGGTCACAAGTAACGTTTTCGAATAGGTCTCGAAGTCACGAGCGCATAGGTGAAAGCCGTTTGCGAGTCTGGGTTATATCGGTATAGTTACGGATATTTGAAGTTGTTTTACTAAACTAGTTTTAAGTTATTTCAACTACCACTTTGTGGGTAAAGGGCCAATTAGATATTTGGGTTTAGGGGCCAATTAGTTAAATGAGGAAAACGGGAGGGGGGAAGGAACGAAGGAGGAGGAAGGAAAAAAGGAAAAAAAAAAAAAAAAAAAGAAACCTTCTCATCGGGCAGTGCACCTGCACACCCAAACCAATCAAACTCTAGTGATTTCGCCATTTTTTCCGTTGAACTGCTACCATCCAACACTTGCAAAACACTCAGTGACATCCCCTCTTCCATTTCCACCCAAGATCGAGGGGTTTAAGGACCAAAATCGTCAAAAACCTCACTGGAGCACCGGAGGTGCTCGACGATGATTTTTCCAATTCGGCGAGTTTCGCCGCCCACCATCACCCTTAATCAACTTCCCTTGGACTCAGGAACAAGACCCAACAAGTTGTAGGGGCATTGGAACACCGAGGAAGTCGAATTGAAGAACACCCACCTTGGGGTTTCCGGCAGTTCATGGCCAGTTTGGGATGTTTTCTGGCCAAATTGGCCTTAGCCGTAGGTATAAAGTTTACTCTACTTGTTGAGATCTTCATTCTTGTGAAATTTGAGAATTTTTGGAAAAAGTCGAATTTTCCGATATGTAACATTCGATTTATGAAATGTTGTTGGTTGAGTATGTTTTCGATAAGGTCTGCTACTTGAGTATTCTAACAATTGACGATCTTGCCGTTGAACTGATACCAAATTTTAGTATGTTATTGTAGATATGGTTTACGGACCTTAGGGTATTACTAGTGAAAATCTAGTGGGCCTGTATTGGTTTGATAGCGACTTGAATATATGAAATATGATTATTATCTTAATTTCTTATATTAGTATCATTTGTGAATAAGAATTGATCTTATAATTATGATTTCTATTGAAATGTGAATTTTATATATTTAGTCATAGACCTATGCTAATTAACTATGATTTGGCTTGTGTATTGATGATGTTTGTGATATATATATGTGTTTGATTAACTTTTTAATAATATGAATAATAATTATGATGAATGTTATGACAATTATGGGAGCTAATTATTGTTTGATAATTATTTGGTTATGCTTGCCAATTAGATACCTATTTGAACTTGGCACTATTACCTAGCATGAGATAAAGATGGAAGTCAGGAGATGAGTTAGGTACTTTATTGGATTTTTAGTAGAAATGGTAATTAAGGGAATTCCTTGTGTTGTGCTTCATCTGACTTGATGTTGGTTGATATGTGGAATCAATAGCATGAATGCGTATAATTATGTTTAATGTGTGATGATGAGATTGCACTATGTAGTTGTGGTACATAGATGGTCCTGCTTGGTATATTCGCGATGGGGGACCATATGTATTCAGGGGTGATCATGCTTGGTATATCCACGATGGGTGATCACTGCTTGTACGATGAGGTTATGCCTATGGTTCTGCTTCGTATATCCGCGATGGGGGACCATACGCATGCTAGAGGTAATGATAATTGGTTGTACTTGGTACATTTTATAGGCGACCATATTTGGTTTGGTTCCGTTGAGTGGTCCGGAACCCGAGGTTGTTGAATTTCGTGGAGTGGCCTAAAATCCCATTATTTGGAGAAGTAGGCTTGGCCTAACTGCGTCACTCTAGCCTTAGTTTTATTTATATTTGTGTCAATGGTTTCAAGAGTCTTGTGAGTTGGGTTAGAAAAGTTGTTGGACGTCTGGGTGACTCCTTCAGGATTTTCTACGATTCGTTTATGATTTCATAAGGTATGAATTTAGAAGATATGAGAATGATTGTTATTACTTTGATCAAATTAATTAATTAATGCGGCTAGAGAATGGTTTTGTGTTTCATCGGCTCTTAAATATGATGTGTGTTGTGAATTGTGATATCATGATGAGACATATTGGTTTATATGTTGGACGGGAGAGAAATCATGTTTTCATGGGGATTGGTTATGTAGCCTGAGTCCAGGAATTACATGTTGTCAGATTATATTGAATGATTGAGGAATACTATGATTTTCTGCTTGAACTTAGTAGAATAAATGTATGAATTTGTGATAGTGAACTACGAATGGCTTGATCCCTATTTAGGGTACGTAGGCAGTCTAACGAGGAGGTTAGATGCAGTCATAAGGTAAACGAAAAATTTCGTTGCAATTTGATTCTCAAATTGTAATTTGCCATATTCCTGAGATGGGGTATGTAAGATATACGAGTAATTGGATGACGTCACGTGTCGATCCTGGACGTATGTCGGGATCGGAGCGTGACATTTGTAACCTTTGGTGATGGTAAGAAAGCAACAATAATTGGTAAGGTACTGTCAAAACCATTGGACTACCTGAATTGCATAATTTGTTATTGGTTGATAAGCTTACTGCCAACTTTATGAGTATTAGTTAACTATGTGATGACATTGGGAATGTAAACTTTGATTCAACTAAATGTGTTGGTAGCAAATAAACTAGTGAAAAAGTGTTGTGTGGACCTAGATCTGAAAACAATTGCTATTATGCTAATGCTAATCAAGTTAATGTGTGTTTCAGGGCAAGCAACAATCCCTTGGATTTGTGGCATCAACAGCTAGGACATATGAATTACAGGGATTTGTTGAAAATATCCAAAAGGCAATATGTACGAGGACTACTATCTCGAGAAGGCAAACAAGAAGGTGTTTGTGGTACATGTCAAATTGGGAAGCAAACCAAAAATGCACATAGCCCAAAGAATTTCATTTCCACCTCACATCCACTTCAATTAATGCACATGGATTTGGAAGGTCTTGTGCAAACAGAGAGTTTGGGAGGTAAAAAAAACACACTTGTTTTAGTCAATGATTTCTCTCGTTACACCTGGTTGCATATTTGCATGATAAGTTTGAAGTATTCAAATCATTCAATATTTTGTGCATTAAGATTCAAACTGAAGAAAAAAAAATGTTGTTGTCATTAGAATAAGAATAAACCACGGAATTGAATTTGACAATGCACCATTCTCTAATTTTTCTGAAAAACATGGCATTCAGCATGAATACTTTGCCCCTATCACACCCCCCCCCCCCAACAACATGGGGTGGTTGAAAGGAAGAATAAAGTGCTATTAGACATGGCACAAGTTATGATTAACACACCGAATGTGGCTTAGTATTTCTGGGCTGAGGCAATTAGCATAACATGCTATACAGCCAACAGAGTTTTTCTTCGACCTAGAACTAAATGTGCACCACATGAGCTTTGGAAAGGTAAGAAACCAAATGTGAGTCAGTTATGTGTGTTTGGTAGCACTTGTTACATCTATAAGGATAAGGAGAATTTGGCAAAATTTGATGCACGAAGTGATATTGGAATTTTCCTTGGTGATTCTCTGACAAGTAAGGCATATAGAGTTTACAATTCACATACAAAGGGTGTTATGGAATCCATAAATGTTGTGATTGATGACTCTAATATGCAGCTCACAAATGTGTATGATGGTTTGCAGGTTGATGAAGATGATGGGCCTAATCATGATTCAACTCATACAAGAGAATCAGTTAATGCAGCTTTTAATGATGTTCAAGACACTTCATCTCAATCACTCCAAACTAGTGCAAAACAAGTTCAAAGGGATCAAAAGTCCACTAATATCAATGGTTCTTTAGATGACAAGATGAAGACTAGGCGACAAGTGGCCGAAAAGATCAGTTTTGTGTGCTATGTGTCTTTACTTGAACTCAAAAATGTCAATGAAGCAATTGTGGATGATGATTGGATAACTGCCATGTAAGAGGAACTTAATCAGTTCACTCGTAAAGATGTTTGGTACCTTGTCCCTCGTCCAAAAGACACCAATATAATTGGTACCAAATAGATCTTTAGAAATAAGACAGATGAGAAAGAGAATGTAGTCGGAAACAAAGCAAGGCTCGTTGCACAAGGCTACACACAAGTTGAAGGGCTTGATTTTGATGAAACATTTGCTCTGGTGGCGCATTTGGAATCAATGAGATTACTGCTAGCTGTGGCCTATCACCTTCAGTTCAAGTTGTATCAAATGGATGTCAAGAGTGCATTCCTTAATGGCTTCCTCAAAGAGGAAGTATATGTTGAACAGCCTGCAGGCTTCAAAGATCCTTTCCATCCTAATCACGTGTATAGACTAAAAAAGGCTCTGTACTCATTTGAGTCAAATGTTGAAATTGCAGGATATTCAGACGCAAATTGGGCAGGTAACATCGATGATCGGAATAGCACATCTGGTGGTTGTTTCTATCTTGGCAACAATCTGGTTGCTTGGTATAGCAAGAAGCAGAATTGTGTCTCTCTCTCCACAGCAGAAGCTAAGTACATTGCCACTGGAAGTTGTTGCACACAAGTGTTGTGGATGAAACAAATGCTTTGTGACTACGGTTTAATACAAGGGAAGTTAATCATTTTATGTGATATATCAAAGTGCCATAAACATCTTGAAAATTCTAGTTAAACACTCATGCACTAAGCACATAGATATCCGTCATCGTTTCATTCATGACTTAGTTGAAGATGATATACTTGCACTTGAGCACATACCCACTAATAGCAACTAGCCGATATCTTTACCAAGGCCCTTGATAGTAATAGATTTGAACAACTTCGGAAATCAATTGTTGTATGTTCTGTTAAGAATTAATTCCTTTTAACTCTGAGTTTTCTTTTTGCATAATCATAGTGTGCTTGCATGTAGAATAGGAATGTGTGTTTTGCATTTTCGGTTGTTTTAAGTTTTAATATCGAATAGGAGTGTGTTCTACATAATCATAATTTGCTTGCGTGTAGAATAGGTTTGCTTGTAACATTCCATCCATGATCTAATCTGGTGAAATTTTCTTGAACTGAGATTGGCTTCCAATTTTAAATAAATGTCGACCTGAAATACTATTTCTCTTGGTTCTTCTTATCTCAACTCTCAATTTTTTTTGTAACTCAGTTAATATTGTGAGACCCATCCACTCTTGCTCATTTCCATTATAATATAACGTGAAAAGTGTGCAAATTTGGGAACACAATGGAAAAAGCTACCTTTGTATGGGTGTGAAAGCTCCATAAAGAAGACGCCTGTGTAAAATTTGACAGTCTTCTAAACTATATGGGAAGGGCTAGCCCTCACACTAGAGTGAAAGCCACCATTAAAAGAGATGATGCACTGCGTGGGTTGGTCCTCTCTCATTTTTGAAGGAGTTGATAGATGCTTGCATCTCCTCTCGCCCCTTTCCAGTTAATAGTCAATATTCGTCCAATTAATTTTGTGCAAATAATATATATACATTTTTATAGCTTGATGTGGAGTCTCACCTATTTTGAATGCCACCATTATACAACAACACTCAAGAGTTTATGTAAGTCATGTTCACATTTGTTTCTCATTCTCTAACTAAAAAGGCTCTGCTTGAAACTCACTTTTTGATGATCAAGGGGTAGGATCTGCATTTCATAATGTGTGATTGATAACTCATATCATGTTTGACTCTTGTTTTTGGAATTATGATCAACACTTCTTACACTGGTTGAATTCCCTAGTATGTTCTAAAACCAGGTTTCTTCCCCTGATTGTGTTGATATTGGCTCATTTGGCTCATTAGTGTTTTTCTTGTACTTGATTTTACAAATGTGTGTACTTTCCGCTGCCTCTGAGCATTGTTATCTATAATGTTGCACCATATGGACCTAATACTCCAATTCCTTAGCTTTTTATTTTCTTTTATACTTCGGCTTTTTTCTGGACCAAAAAAGGGGGAGTAGTTTATTTAGTTGTTTAGGGGGAGTCATTTGGTCTAATGCATACTACTCTGATTTTGCATTTATATATGAAACTGATGGATTTAGGGGGAGTCATTTGTTCTAATGCATATTACTCTGATCTAATATTTCTCTTAACGTAAACATGCAGATGTAGGACTACAGTGGCTGAGCAAAATCACATGACAGCATTTTTGGCTTGGTTTATCGTGGGTTTTTGTCTAGAAAATGCCAAAGGAGGAGATTGTAAATGTGATTTAATTAAGCTTATTTTCTAGACAAATTGTAATTTATATTAAATTGAGTATGTAATTTATCTTGCAATTATCATACAAGATCTCATGTCAATTAGTTTTATTAGTCCAGCCTTTTAGGACTAGATTAGTCAGTCAAAGATGATGGCAATCACATCAACTAATTATTGGATAAAAATTAAAATAAAGGAATTGGACGTGAAGATTAATTGAGGAAGGACTTTCTAGTCCAAGAAAAGTGTGTAAGGTCACCTATTTAATAGGTCCTTCGTACTCAAGGGAGGACATCTTTTGCAACGCAGAATATCCGTATTGCATTTGAGCGAGCAAAGGAAGTTGTTCTGCACTTCATTCAAATCCAACTGTGTGCAACCATGCTGTGTGCATCAGACGTTCAAGATTGAGAGGACAAGGTTCGCTAGTTTGTGTACCTGGGTCTCGTATGAATCTTGTAAAGTCTTCATCTTTTCCTTAGTGGATTATGGTTGGCAATCTTGCCCAAGGGTTTTTCTCTCTGAGGTTTTTCCCCTTGTAAAGCTAATTCTTGCGTGTTCGCTATTTTTCTATTTTGTTTTGTCTTTATCAGTTCTTTGCATAGAACAGGTTTAAAATTGACATTCAATCTTAATTTATCTAAATTACGATGAGAGAAATTCGAACTCAAGCATAGAAGAAAAGCACAATATTCGAGCCAACTTGGCTAAATCATAAATTTGCTTTTTAAAATGATTTTAATAAAGATGCTTATATACCCGTAAGGGATATTGTTTGACCCGGGGTCAAATATACGCTAATGTTTCATATTGTGCAGAAGTCGCGTTCTTATTATTAATGTCTGGTGGGAGTGGGGTTGCTTCTGGTTTGGTAACCAAATTGAAAATGCCAAACCAAAAATTGAACCCCTTAGGCTTATACAGGCCTCCTCCCTTGTAGAACCTCGGCCTCTTTCTCTTGAAGTTGAACTAGTAGTAGAACGTGAAGGTGGACATTGTTAAGTCGTTGGATGTATGGGGTACCCCATGAGGATGATACCTCCACTCCACTATTTAAATCTTTTCTAGGAAACGAGCCCAAAAGCTTTGATGGGCTTCCAAAGTTGCTATTTAGGAGTAGATTTCTGGGTTTCCTTCCGATTTTAGTTGGGAGTTGGACTCCTTGTTAGATTAGTTGTTGGGTTTTCTTTTCACATTATGTACAAAGTCGAGGGGCTGCCAACATAAGAAAACTAGTAGGAAAAGAAAAATTGATGATCTTGGTTTTGAAGATGCAAAGAGGCTGGCCATTGGATCACAAGTTGATATCGATCATCAGCCAGATGAAGAAGAACAACTAATTGAATATGTTGATGACGATGGGGATCTGGTCGCAAGGAAATTGTTGGCTCTTCAGAATAAGGAGGAAATTGTAGCACAACCACAAGCAGTAGCAAATGTAGTTGCCTCCGCCTCCGCCTCCGCCTCCGCCTCCACCTTTAGACTACTTCAGGCTCGACATGACCGCCTCTGAGTGGTTCTGCCAGCTTAACAACTGCGCTGCCATCCGATAGGCCGAAGAGGCCCTCAAGAAGGGGTACCGAGCCACTGGATATAAGCGATGATTCAAACTGCCGCAGCCAACCTAAAGGTCCTTTCTGCTTCTGTGATGTCTGCTGCGAGTTGCGCCGTGGTTTTTACACTTATTACAACAGCCGACGGCTCCCCGGACTGTTATGAGGTCTATGCGGAAAAAATGAGACGGGACACCTGGGCCTGTATACTTGCTTCTAATCCTGAAGCAACCCCTGATGTTGCTCTTTCTGAGGCAGCTGACGCTGGCGCTCGACTCACAGCTCATTGGTACCGGTACCTGGAATTGATCGGGAATTGATGTAGCTGCGCCGTGTGCACCAACTGCTGATTGTCCGTCTATTTAATCTAACAGTTTATATATGATCTTGTTTGTTCAAATTTTGAAAATAAAGAACAAAAAATCGTGCTTTCTTTCAAGATTTTCTTATTTCTTTCTATTCAGATGCAGTTTTCACTTTAATTTCTTCCAATATTTATTGATCTTCATATGTACACGCATGTGTTCATGAGCTTTGTGGTAAGTTCATGCGTCTTCAACAAGTCACGTCGTAATTTATTTTCTGTGTCATAGCTAGTCATGAGCTTTGTGGTAAATTCATGCGTCATAACCCGGCCGCCTCAGGGTGTAGATATTAGAGCATTTGAATCTCGTGCCTGTTTCTGTACCTACTACTAATCGAGAAACTGTTGGACCCGAATGTGATGGAATGTCTGTTGGGGATACGCTGAGATTAATTCACATTTATCTATTAATCGTTGTTCTCCTTTCTTTCTTCCTGGTTTCTTATCTCTGAAATGTTTCTTCTCAAAAACATTAGTCGAACAGCAGCCAGAAAACCAGGGAACAGAAGAGGTCTACTTTTCACCTGCAACATCAAACATTCCAAATGGTCTAGATCACCCTCGTCTAAATTTAGGGGCCAACAAACAATCGCCTGAGGAAGCACGGAGAAGAAAAGCCTCTCCCAGAAGCTTACCATGGTGTTCAAGGTAAGAATACTCTTGCTGCTCGTTTATTCAAATATCATTGCAAAGGAAATGGGAAAGAAAACCAAGATAACTGGTCTTTGCGTTTCTAAGGAACTAGTTAGGCTAAGCAACAAGCTTTTCCCTTATTAATCTTCGCTTCTCTGGATGGTGTTCTAATTTCCACTCTATATTTGGACTGGTTGCTAATCTAATCCAACCAAGGGCGTTTTCTAATCTCAAGTGCTTTAGGTGTTGCAATAAGTTTCGTTATGTTGTTATCTTGGTTACCCATCCCCCCACCCCTCCCCCCGCCTCGCATGAGTTATTGATCAGATGGAAAGTTATTGTGCCTAGATTCTAGAAGCAGGTTTCAAACATGCTTGTCATGTTCGACTATACTCAGATACCATTCGTTTGGGATTTGGATAGAGTTTTCTTTAACATCTGCATTTCCTGATTTAAGCTGCATCCAACTTTAAAGCTTCGGTATGATTTTCGTTATTTTTAAGTATATGGTAGAGGTTTTAAAGCATGACATTGTTTGTTTAACGTGTAGCAGACATCGGTATCATTGACAAGTTGGTGGATATTTACCTACTTTTCTTCTGATTTTAGCTGCATTCGACCTTGAGGGGATTTTGTGCTGCTGAGTTATGGTTTTTTGGTTTCGTTTTATCTCTTTGAGTGTGTTTTTATGCTCCAATTCGGATGAGTTTTGCCTTTACTACGGTATACAAACAAAAAAGAGGGAGAACCATCTAAAAATATTGAAAGTTCACCCCAAGTTAGGATCATCCAAGTAAAGCCGCAAGTTACCCAAGGACAGAAAGATGCGAAGCCAGGAATTGACGGGAGAAGAGGCGAAGTTAAAAGAGTGCAAGGTTCAAAAGAATAGCAAAAATCAAATCCTTTTATATAGTAATGTCTTATGTAATTATCAATACAAACAAATTACAATTATTACCGATAAGGTTTCATATTATGAAAACGTCGCATAATAGGCTCATTATCAATAAAAGCAAATACATCTGTCTCAATGCAAACAAACATGATATCACTCAACCATTGATCTTCCATTTTGTTACGCAATGGTGTTTTCATAATCTTCATAGCAGAAAAAACTCTCTTCACCGAAGCGGTTGCAACCAGTAACACCAAAGTCAACGTAAAAAGCTTATACACTAACATATAGTTTGCATACCTCCCGGTCTTCACCAACTCCTTTGCAAGATCACCAATTCCTCTCAATGATGAAAACTCACTATGCATCTTCATATCGTGAATGTAATTGTCAAGTTGAATTGAAATATTCATGAGGTCCATATCGTGAATGTAATATGCATATTAACTAATCCAACCAACAATTCAATTAATTAATACCAATAAGCATACAAATTATTCAATAAATAGAAATTCACTACAACTAATCATATGAATAAATTATGTAATAATTCAATTAATTAATCAATCAATAAGTCAATTAATTGTTGCTGAGTGGAAGGTTGAAGAGAAAATAAAAAATAAAAAATAAAAAATAAAAGGATAGAGAGAGAGACTGAAGGGAACGGGGACAGAGAAGTCTGAACAGAAGTTAGGAACCTATATATATATTTTTTTTTATAACATATACGAAACAGTGCTGTTTTGTTTTATTTTTTTTAAATTTTTTTACCAGGACCAAAACGACGTCATTTTGGCCTAGAGGTTTAAAAAAAAAAAAATTGAATCAACTCTACTGCTGTGCAGCAGAACTAGTCCCAAACACCGATTTTTGCAGATCTCCAATCCCATTTTCCGGCGATGGGAGGGATAGCCGCCACTCTTGGCGCTCACGTGACTTCGCCACTGCTCTGATGGGATTCTAGGCCTATGAGCATAAAAAGCTTGGAATCCAAGTCCCATTATCTCACTCCATGTTCCTTAGTAGTGGCTGATTCATGTTGCTTTATTTTAGCCCCACTCCCTTGCTTTTAAGATGCATGGAAAATGGCTAGTTTTTAGGATGCATTGATCCTTCAATTTTCACACCCACAGTGCTATATATAAAAACTCCTCATCTAAGGACGATGTTATTTGTACTAGTCCGAATAGGTGGATGTGTGACATCCCACATCGCCCAGGGGAGTGATCATTTTATGTATATTCACATCCTTACCTAGCATGAGGCTTTTTGGGAGCTCACTGGCTTCGGGTTCTATGGGAACTCCGAAGTTAAGCGAGAAAGGGGCTAGAGCAATCCCATGATGGGTGACCCACTGGGAAGTTACTCGTGAGTTCCCAAAAACAAAACCGTGAGGGAATGGTAAGCCCAAAGCGGACAATATCGTGCTATGGTGGTGGAGCGGGGCCGAGAAGTGATCCGCCCCCGGCCGGAATGTGACAAATTTGGTATCAGAGCCTAACCCTGGTCACGTGTGTGCCGACGAGGACGTCGGGCCCCTAAGGGGGGTGGATTGTGACATCCCACATCGCCCAAGAGAGTGATCCTTATATGTATATTCCCCATCCCTACCTAGAGCGAGGTCTTTTGGGAGCTCACTGGCTTCGGGTTCCGTAGGAACTCCGAAGTTAAGCGAGAAGGGGGCTAGAGCAATCCCATGATGGGTGACCCACTGGGAAGTTGCTCGTGAGTTCCCAAAAACAAAACCGTGAGGGAATGGTAAGCCCAAAGCGAACAATATCGTGCTACGGTGGTGGAGCGGGCCCAGGAAGTGATATGTCCCGGGCCAGGATGTGACAGGACGTTTGTTTGAATACTTGTAACTTGATTAAATTGGATCATGGCAATTGCCTTGTGAGGTTGATCTTTTTGGAGACTAGCGGTGAATGGAGAGAGTTAGACCTCCGTTCTCCCTTTCAGATAGTGATCACTTTCTACTGCGCAGCAGCGTTCTGCTACATGATCTCCTGATTTTTTTTTTTCCGCTGGGCGCTGGGTAACGAAGTAGTTAATGGTTGGATGAAGGGACTATCTTCTTAGTCAATTTCTTCTTAGTATGGCATTGTTCAAATGTGGGACCATGATTTTTCAGGGAAAGCAAATCAGAATACAGATACTTCAAAAGTCTGGTCATGGGCTGAACGACTTCGTTGAGATTGACCATTCTTGTTCTGCAAGATACGGGAACCTGATCCAACAAGTCTTTAGCCGGTTCGTTATATTCATGGAGTTCCTACAATTCAGGAATTAGTGTGCGCAAGAAATCACACTCTCAAAATAATGCAATATATATCTATCCTTTGAGAGTCTTCTGACTTAATATAGAATTTTATCCTAAAAAGGTTTTTCTTCCAACTGGTATGCAGCCCGTAACAAATACAGCACATAAAAAGTACAAAAAGTTTTACATGAAGCAATCATGCATGTGCATGAGTCCTCTCTCCTTCCTTATATATATATATATATTTTTTTTTTCTGAACAAACGATATTTATATTAAAAGGGAAGAATGAGTTTAACCTTATAATAAGCTAGCAATAATGTGGTCTAAATTCATTTTTGACGAGATTCGAATCTAAGATATCTCACTTTCAAATAAAGAGTAATAGCATTAATCATCGTAGATCACCTACTCAGTTAATAATGCCATAAATTGTCTTGTCAAAATGACTCGTGCCCAATCCTATTTCTATAATTTTATTTTCTGACGTGGAATCAGTCATTGTAATTTCAGAAAAAGGAAGTGGGTATATATAGGTCAACAGATTGACGCATGGGATATGAGCATAGGGCGAAAGTCAACGGAGGTTTTTAGTGTTGTGTCCCATTATGTCGGTGATGTCGTGTCCATGGCCCATGGCCCATGGCCCACTCGGAAGCAGGTAACGCTAGATATTTTAGATATTTCAGCAATGGGTCACACCGGTCTACCGGCCCATTGACCCTTGGCACTCCATTAACATTGTACTAAGCAAAATATCTCGATTTTAAAACTAATTAAAAATATAAATTAGGCAGTTGATTAGTGGAGGGAGATATTTTTTATATTTATTGTATTTATAATTAATTAGTTTGGAGGGCAAAATCGTCAGAGACAAAAAAGTCAAACTTTAATGTTATAGTTGCGACGACGAATCAAACCTGGCGCTTTTTTATAGTGGAAGGCCAACACACACACGCACACAACACGCACAGAACACACACACACACCTTCAATCTTCCCACTCTCTCCACTGCGATCCCCACTCCATTCTTCCCTTACTGTCTTATTTGATCCATTTTTCCAGAAACACCCTAGAAATTCACTTCAAAAGGTTGGATTTTTATATTTATTTTTCAAGATATTCGGTTAAATAATTCTGCTTTTGTAGTGTTTGCAGGCCTCTATTTTTGCCTTGAGCTTCAGTTCAATTGGTGTATGAATTTCGTTAATTTATTTGGGTTTTGTTTTAGGGTTGTGGTGGTTGGATAAAACCGAGAATTGGGGAACAGAGCAGTGAGCCAAAGGTACCAATTTTTGTGTTTTTCACTTTCATGCATGGCTTATATAATTTTTTTTATGATTGTTTTTGTATTGTTATTAATTGAGATTTTGTATTTAAATAGTGAAATTTAGTCTTATTATTTGTTCTTGAATTGTTTTAGGGTTTCTGAAACCTAGATTTGATTTGAGTGTGGTGAATTTACTGTTTGTGGGGTATATGCAAGTATAATAGACAGGGGGGGGGTGTGTTTGTGTGAAGTCAGAACCAAGAGCATGTTCTCTGGGGTTGGTGTTGGTGTTGCTGTAGAATCTGACTTGGTGAGGTAGTGACCGGAGAATTGAGACTTTGAGTTGACTCAGGTCTTTTTCGCTCGGGAAGAAGGTTAGAAGGTTTCTACCTTTTGTTTTGTGTTGTTTTTGGTTCTGCGGTTGGGGAAAGGTGGAGACACATACGCTTTTGGGTATGAACGGTTGGATGCGATTTTCATCGTGACTTTTGAGTGAAAGGCTAACATACCATGCCAAGTGCAGTTCATGGTTGTCCAATTTTTAGAGGCAAGTTATTGATCAGATCACTTGCCTATTAGAATGAGATAAAAGGTGCAGTGGTAGTGTTGATAAGTCTGATATCTAATTGGAACAATATCGATTGGTATAATCCATAAGAGTACTCAAATGATTTGTACGGTTATGCTAGATATCCTTTTGGGAGCAATTTGGTTAAAGGTTTCTAGTGTTTGATTTAAGGTGGAAGCGATTTTTGGTATTGATTGTTGAAGCTTTAGTTTGACCTTATAGTATTAACTGAGGTTTTATGGGTTTTACATTTTTAGTATGTGGTTTAATTTGGGGAAGTCATCCCCCTGTTTATTTTTGCCCTTTCGGTTGAATAAATCAAAGGAGAATACAGGGATGGAAGTAAAGGGAAAATGGTCGTGCAAAAGTCATTTTCCACTTTTTGTGGCACAGCTGGTCACCAACCCTTTGAAATGGGTGTTAGCCAGCTCCCAGAGTTGTTTCTGCATTATCTACTTTCTGTTAGGGTTTTGTAAATTTAATTCTGGAATTTCATAACTGACTAAAATTTCGTAACAGTAGTGTTCATACTGATTGTTTATTATGTACTCTGCACCATAGAGGAACGAAGGGAACTTTTTTGCCAACATACGCCAATATGGATCAGCAAGGACATGGGCATCCAGCAACTATGGGAGTGGCGGGAACTGCAGCTCAAGCATCATATGGTGTGAACCCGTATGGATCGGTTGGGATGATGCAATCTCCTACTCAGCCAGCAGGTCCAGCCGCCTCTTCTCAGCTTGCACAACACCAGCTAGCTTATCAGCACATCCACCAGCAACAACAACAGCAACTGCAGCAACAACTCCAAAAATTTTGGGGGGAGCAGCATAAAGAAATTGATCAAACTAATGATTTCAAAAACCATAGTTTGCCATTGGCCAGGATTAAGAAGATTATGAAGGCGGATGAGGATGTGAGGATGATATCAGCCGAAGCTCCTGTCATATTTGCTAGGGCCTGTGAGATGTTCATTCTAGAGTTGACAATGCGGTCATGGAATCACACAGAGGAGAACAAAAGAAGAACACTGCAAAAGAACGACATTGCAGCAGCAATTACGAGGACTGATATATTTGACTTTCTAGTTGATATCGTCCCAAGAGAGGATTTGAAAGACGAGGTGCTTGCATCAATCCCAAGAGGTGGGAATCCCCCAGTTGGGGGTCCATCTGATGGTGTTCCTTACTATTACATGCCTCCTCAGCATGCTTCGCAGGTTGGTGCTCCGGCGATGATAGTGGGAAAGCCTGTGATGGATCAGAATCTCTATGGCCAGCAAACACATCCGTACATTGCTCAACCAACATGGCCACAGCAACAACAGCATCCGCACGACGATCTTGAGTAAAAGAGTAAATGGAGTAAAAATTGGAAGACCAATTTGACTATATCATCATTGTTTGTAATTGAAGGCGTACAATTTAAAGTGTTTATCTTGGATACAATAGTTACATAGTTTGCTGTATTTCCGGTCCTTACAGTTACAAAATATTTGGGTTTGGTACATGAAAATTGAAAGGTTCTGTAAAAGGTGTGGATTCTGGTACTGTAAGCAATCTGATTTTTATGTAATTTGATCTGCTTGTAAATCCAAAGCTTGACAAAGTGAGGTAATTGAGGAGGAAAGTGGTCAAACACACAGGCACTTTAAAGATTCTGGTACTTTATTCATTCTGCTTTACTCTTTCCGCAAAAATTCCTCTACTAGTTGTGGTGTTGAGGTCCTCCATTTGTAGTGTCAAGCCACCTTTGTACACGTACACGTTGTGTTTACCTCACTCGTAAGGTGTATTATTCGTTTACGAGGCAGATTCTAGATTATGTTAGTGTAAGGAGCACGCCTTGTTTGAAAGATAATTATCAAGGGGATGGGGATTTAAGCTGAGTCATAATTAAGTGTCGAACTTGTCATTCATGGGAGCCGAACCTAAGATCTTTCACTTACAAGTGCATAAGAATACCTTGAATCGTAATGCTTGTGTGTGTGTGTCTATAGTGCATACTGCCTTATGGCTCCCTCAGTTGGGAACTCCATTTCATCCTCTCTTTTTTTCTCCCTCCTTTTTGCATCTAAACTCCTAGTCAATCTTATTGAAAAACCCGTCATTCTCTAGCAATTTTATGCTGTTACAAGATAATGCAATCAGTCAAGAACTTGGACACGACGCTTTCTCCGTCAATGATAGCATGCGTTATTGTCATCGGCAACCGAAATGGATTGGTGCTCATAATATAACAGCTAATGGCTTGGAAGCATCACTCTGCCTTGGCTGGCAGCGCAGCTTATATATTCACGAAAACATCGTCCTTCTCAACACTGCAGGATTTCTGGAACTGTAATAAGACAAACTTCATGCAACCAATTGCCAAACATGGGAAGAACCAAAATTATGAACACATATTTAGACTATTAAAACCTCCTACTCAAATCCCCATCTCTGATCCTTTGACGAGCCCATGATAGAAATACACCGACGCTGAAATAACCAAAACAAGTTTTTGTTAGTTATCCATTAGTGCAACAGAACATAGCATTTCTATAAGCTTCTAAAATCTGAGTTTGGAAGCATCAGACGGTTATCACCTTCTGACCGTCGAAATTCAATGCTGAAATGTTCATGAAATTTTATACTAACTCTATATTTATGAATCCAAACGAGAAAATTAATGCATATCAATTTATATATTCTGAATTTTGTAAGAAATTTCATGTTTAGTTTCACTCGTTCAAACATAATGTCAACAAGTAGAGTGAAATAAATAAATTCTGAGGGCCTTTTGGGCCCCACCACACACTATACCTTTCCTTGGTTTCCTGCTTTTTGTACATCTGTAGCAGGAGCCAGGAGGGAGGAAAAGGCCGTAGCTTTTGGTAGCGGTTGTTGGTGGGGGCTGGAAGAAAGAAGGAAGAGAGAATGAAGGGGAGGATGAAAGTGAATTCGAATGCGATGAGATCGGGGGTTGTGGTGCTCGGAGCGCTGGCGTTTGGGTACTTGACGCTGCAGCTTGGCTTCCGGCCCTTTCTCGAAAGAGCTCAATCTGCCGTTGACGACTTTGATCCGGCGTCCTCCTCCTCCTTCGCCCCCGCCGAACAACAAGAACAACAACAACCCGACTCCAGCAGCTCCACCCGCCACTTCTAAATAAATAAACACCGATTGCTGATTACCCTAAACCCCACAACCCTTGCTTGCTTTTTCTTTATTCTGTTTCTGTTGCTTTTTTTTATTGGATTCGGAAGTTGTACTGCGCTGCGCAACTAGGTTTCTTTGCTGAATGATGGAATTGCTGTGTCCAGTCGTGCTTCCGAAAGGTATGGAATTGAACTTGATTTCATGGAATTACTACTGCTGATGATGGATTTGGATTCATGTTTCTTCCCCAAAATTAATAGAACATTGTGACAAGAAAGAATTCTAGCTATAAAGGGATGTGCTTTGCAATTGGTTCGGTGGTTTTTTTTCAGTTGATAATCACCCATCTACTTATTGTGAGTTCATGTCTTTTTTTGCTTTGTGAGGATGGTTGAAATTAGAGCTATGCATTTGGAGGCTTAACCGCTTAAGTTTTTGGTTGTGTTGTTAACAACGAGTTTCGAGTTCCATATGGTTTCTGAAAAACTTGCTTATCGCCTGAATTTCAAGTAAACTCGAGGTTGATGAAGACATGGCACAAACATTCTTTTTTAGAGTGAAGCCAAAAAACAATGCTCGTTTCATTTGGGTTTATGTAAGGTTGCATTCTCATGGTTCTCTAGTAACGTATATGAATAATATCATTGATTTAGAAATGTCAATGTTTACGGCACTGTAATATTTTCTTCACTAGGATAACAACTGTATTTGCTACCCCAATACTCTGTAGTTTCTTACAACTCTTCAATTTAAAAAGTGTGGTTTATAGTTCTGTATATATATATTTTGCATGATAAGAGTCTCTCGCCGGATTAATGTCCATACTCCCTTGTAATTGTAGCTGAACTCCCATCTCAATCCGGTTATCATAATATCCAAAATCATAGTTACAAAAATGTTTAACCTTTGGGTTGAAGCTAACAAATGTACATGATTGCATTGTTTTCTTAAACCAAAGTTGTGATGCATGTCAAACTGGGCACATGCAGTGTTTGGTTGTTCTAAATTCTAATGATGTTTTACAAACATATTATTTAAAGAGACTATTAGAGTCGTTATATATTTAGTTGTATTACACTAATGTTTTAATGGTAAACGCGTTGGGGCAGATCATGAGGAAAAACCGAAAAAGAACTGGATGGCATTTTTGGTAGGCAAAGAATGACAGTGTTTTGAACTCTTTGTCATCTACTTTGTGCCCTATTCTTGAGCCATTCATATATGTAAACAGCGTGAAGGTGTCAGTGTATGATTTCTTTGGTCAGAAGAAAGTGAACTACGGCTCCACAGGACCACCCGATGATTTATGCAAGAGAGGGCTTAATGTTGAAGGGAAGCACTTAATGAAGTTGCAGAAGAAATGAGGGAATGGAATATTATTTCTAGTTCATGTCTATTACTTGTTGTGAGTTCATGTCTTTTTTTTGCTTTGTAATCATGGTTGAAATTGGAGCTATGAGGCTTAACCGCATTATTTTTTGGTTCTGTTGTTAACAATGAGTTTTTGGTTCCAAATGGCTTCTTGAAAAACTTGTTTATCGGCTGATTTCAAGTAAAATTCAGGTTGATGAAGATATAGCTCCATTGTGTGACAATGAAACTTCTTTATGATAGATACATTACAACGTACCTTTCTTAGCTTTTTGGCTAAGATCAAGATATACACATTACAACAGCATGGAATTGGAATTCAGTGTAGAGTGAAAAAAAGTAATGCTCATTTCATTAGGGTTTATTGTGTCGAATGTGCCATCTCTGACCTCGCCTCTTGTGTATTCATATCGTTGGGAATGGTAGTAGGTCTGTATGAATTATATCATTGATTTAGAAATGTCGATGTTAATGGCACTGTATTCTCATCACTGGGATAGGAATCTGTCACTGCTACTGCTACCCCAATAATCTGTAGTTTTTGAAGTCTTAAATTTCAAGTGCTGATAGTAAACTTTCTGATTGTAATTGTAGCTGAACCGGCAGTCTCCCACCTCAGTCTGGTTACTAAAAGATGAAAACACAAGTGCACACACAATCACAAAAAAAGTTTAAACCTTTGTGTTGAAGCTAACAAATGTCCAGATTGCAGTGTGGTCTTAAATGAAATTATGATGTATGTTAATTGGATCCTCACACGCAGTTTTTGGCTGTTCTTGTGCAGTTGTATTCTACTGGCAGACTGTTTAGTGGCAAATGTGTTGGGGCAGATCATGAGGAAAAAAACTGGACAGAGGATGTGGTAGGCGAAGGATGGCAGCGGTTCAAGTTCTTTGTCATTTAGTATGTGCGTTACTCTTGAGCCATCCGTATTACTGCAAACAACAGCGTATGATCGATTTCTTTGGCCAGAAGAAACCAAGACTCCGCGAAATGATTCATGCAAGTGAAGGCTAGATGTTTAAGTGAGGTAATTGACATAGTTGCAGAATAAGGGAAGGGAATGGTATTTATAAGAGGGCTCCAGGATAGCATGTAAGTCAGAGAAGAACCTTCTGCAGAATTGATCGAATCTAGGTGTCGATGAACACCAAATTTTTGGAGAGTTTTGTATGGATTATTTTCTTTAAATCAAGGAGGGTTGTGGGTAAGTGGAATTTGAATCTCATGCATTGTTGTAGAAATCAAAAGAAAGAAAATGCGTTTGTTAGCGAAGCCTCTCCCGTTCCATCTTAATGCCAAAGCCCAATTAGCCGAGAAATTTTCAACGTGCCGCTATTTTTTTTTTCAAAGTGCCGGTAATTTTCTTTTTCCAAGTGCCGGTAATTTTTCTAGAAGCCAGTATTTAAGCGGGTACTTCATGTGTCATAAAATAAGTGGAGGAACACGGATAAATATATCATTTTCTCCATTTTTATGGTATGTGAAGTACCACTCGAATACCCAGTATTTGAAAAAAATCTCTCAAATTACCTCAAGCAACGAGGGAGGCTGTGATAATGGATTGGGATTATGATCAATCTAAGGTTAACGCTAAAGAGATTAAATTTGTAGGTTAAATTTACAAACTAAATTACGTGTCACTAATATGAATGAGCACGTTTATCAATACATAAGTAATAATCAAATCATCAACTTTCATATCATTTAATTTACAAAATTTAGTATATAAATTTATTCTTACTAACGTTACTCTAAATATAACTGCTGATCAATGATAAGCATAACGATGGAGTCAGATTGTCATATTTGAGAAATAGTGGATGGGAGATGGCGTGCACATTATGCTGTTTAAGGTTTTCTGTCCCAGGTGAGACAGGTGGCATCATGTAATTTGACCATCGTCGTCGTCGTCCTCCTCCTCCTCCTCCTTCCCCGGATTAATCCCATGAATATGCATGAATGGTGTTTTATTAATACAAAAAAGAATGGTGAGAATTGAAAAACCAGGTTCACGTGTAACTCTTGTTATTTTATTGGTTCCATCTTTTTGAATGTTTCAATTTGCTAGAATAAGGCAATTCTGTCCCAGGTGAGACAGGTGGCATCATGTAATTTGACCATCGTCGTCCTCCTCCTCCTCCTCCTCCTCCTCCGGATTAATCCCATGAATATGCATGAATGGTGTTTTATTAATACAAAAAAGAATGGTGAGAATTGAAAAACCAGGTTCACGTGTAACTCTTGTTATTTTATTGGTTCCATCTTTTTGAATGTTTCAATTTGCTAGAATAAGGCAATTATAAAAAGGGATCGGAGATGGCAGTTAGACAGTGATTTTGCATTGACCTTCTATTTGTGTTAGTAAATTTCACAAATCATAGAAAAATTATCATATATTATGACAACGGGAATGCTAACAACTTTTTGATTTTGATCTTCTCATTTTACTACTTTTTTAGACTTCTCATTTAGACTCATTCTACCTTATTATTTCTCATTTTCATCCTGCAATATTGTACAAGATAAGAACCATCTATTTTTCTAATTCAACATGTCACATCCCCGCCCGGGGGGGGACCACTTCCCAGGCCCGCTCCACCATCGTAGCATGATATTGTCCGCTTTGAGCTTACCATTCCCTCACGGTTTTGTTTTTGGGAATTCACGAACAACTTTCCAGTGGGTCACCCATCCATCATGGGATAGCTATAGCCCCCTTCTCACTTAACTTCAGAATTTCCATGGAACCCGAAGCCAGTGAGCTCCCAAAAGGCCTCGTGCTAGGTAGAGATGAGAATATACATATAAGGATCACTCTCATAGACGATGTGGGATGTCACACAACATCTCTAAAAAAAATCTAACTAATTTGAAATCATCTATTGCTAGCATCTCCCTCTTTGAAAGGTCCATGTAACAAGAACACATGCTTGACTTTTTCACTTTTTAGAGCTCATCATGAAGGTTGTAAGTTCATTATTCTGCTCTTTACAAGTTGATTAGTTCAATTATGTTGGTCATTACAACGTACCTTCAGGTCAAGTATGAGTTGTTTCTATTTGGTTTGAGGAGGTTTCAGGGTTGACTTAATATATATTTATGTTTGATACCTAATCATAAAATAATTTTATTGTAGATTTGCATTAGAGACTTTTTGAATTTTGGATTGACACGCAACACCACGTTTGAAGATTGAAGTAGAATCCAATAAGTTGTATCCAAAACCCTTGGGTTAGCCCAAATAACGAAGGAGGTTGAGATAATAAATCAGGATTACGATAGATCCAGGTTTGGTTTTTTCTGATGTAACAACAAAACATGCTTTGTGTTTTGTGGGAATCGTAGGGATCTTCACATTATTACTGTTGATCGTACATTATGGGGTTAGTTTTTTGTTAGGTATTATTTGTGTTTAATCTTAAATAAAAAATTTAAAATGATTTCTGACCGTATGATGTACGATAAACGGTTAGGATGTGAGGATCCTTAGAATCCCCGACAATTTGGATTCGGATGGGATCCAAATCCCAAAAAATAGATCAAAGTGCTGAATAAATGGAAAGCGTTGTCATTCAAATATGTGTCATCGAGTTAGATTTTCATCTTTGAAAAAATTATTTAAACATGGATGGAGATGGCGGGTACGTTATGATTTTACAAACCACCAAACCACAGAAATTGAACACATCATGCTTGCTAGCAGTAAGACGAGGATTCACCTGACTACCATATGGTAACTAGATTAAGATAAAAATCCTAGCAAATGATAATGACACACCTACTGATTTTAAATTCTTACGTGATGGTAAGGAAAAAAAAAGGCATGGAAATCACAAGCTCAAGCACGAAAGTTGATTAAATTAGTCCAATCTTATCTTTAGAATATATGCTAATTGTCTTGATGATTGAGCTAAGCATCGCACAAAGTAAACATCTCTTTTGATTAAGGCCGTGTTTGATATTCCAAGAGTATGTTGCATTTGTACACCTTATTATCATGACCCCAACAAAAATTAGAGGTTCTCCCTTCATTAGGGTCACTTGTCTTCAGTGACGGACCCAAGAAAAATTATTCGGAGAATCACATGTAAAAGTTTATAAACAGTTTTTAGACATATGATAACTTTAAAAATTAAACCACAATTCCATCATTCATAACATATAGACAAATAACAATATACATTATAATTGTCCACAATGTTGTTTTGACCAGGTAATATTTAAAAGAATAATAATAAGAGCAACTCTTCTTTGAGGCATTTTATCACACAGTTAGAGTGCTTGTGTGAAGGCCAACTCCAACTTTCAAAGTGGCAGCATTTAAGTTATCCATAAATATCCATCGAAGTTCGGAGGGTCAGCTAATTCTCTGTGCTGTTGAGAGGCTTAGTGGCGTCCGCCTCTGCTTGTGCTTTTTCGATTTTAGATTCTTTTATGAAATGTAAGATGTAAGTATAAATATTTTTGTTTACAACAAATTTTTTTTGGTTGAACTGTTTACTGTCAATTAGTAGTCTTTTGTCAATTCGTAGAGTGATTTTATAACATTTTGGTGGAGTCTCAATCATTTTTATGAAAACTAGTATATGCCCACATATAAAATGTGTGTAAAATTTTTCATTTTTGTTTTTAAAATTGAACGAGAGAGGAGGAGAGAGATAGAACGTGAGAGTGGGGAGAGAGAAAGAGGTTTATTTTTTTATGTATTTTTAAATTAGAGATTATAGAATCACCTACAGGCTTAAACAAAAAACAACAAAATTTTATTTTGTGAAATTATGTTACTGTCCTTAACTTTTTTGTTGTGATAAAAGAAAAAAAATATATCTTTTCACTTTCTTTTGATTGACAAAAAAAATTTCATTAATATGTAGTTTAAATAAAACTCGACGGTGTCAATAAGTTTTTGTAGTACGAAAAAGAAAACCTAGTCAAGAGAGATGGGCCTGATTCCTCAAAATCCAAACGCAGAGAGCAAAGAGGAGTACAAGTCGGGAATTCCCCACCCAAACCCATACGGCACCCAACTTCACATTTATGTCCACCCAATTTGGATTAGTTAGATATAATATCGCTTCAATGTGAGAAAAATTAAATGTTCCGAGCTGATGAGTATTGTGGTCATAAACATAGTGAAATTTTTTATAGCCTTTTCAGGCTCGGAAAGAATCAAGATAATCGCTTGCCACCAATTGTTCTCATATTGTAAAAGGAAAAAAAAAACAATTATTGTTGTTCAAAAAAAAAGAAAAACAATTAATTTTTCAAAATAAGGAGAAATTGGAGAAGAACAAGTAGTTTGTTTTATTTTTTTTTTTAAGAGAAAAAGAATGAAGACGGTGGTAATTGGCAAAATTAGGGATTATCAATTTATCATACGATCAACTCACCCACGCTCCACCTCCTCCGCGTGCACAACATCCCCCAAAACGTTTCGTCTCCCTCCTTTCCTCTTCTCTCCAATACGTCACGTTCTAGCAATAAAAAAACACGGCAACCGCCCTGTATCCGTTACCCTCTCTCTCTCGCTCTCCTCCCCTCTCCCTCCCCACTAACGCCACAACTCCTGTCCATTCTCTGCTGGTCCCTCTCTTCTCTCTCCTCCCCTTCTCACTCTAAAAGACCTTAAGCCCCATCTCTCTCTCTCTCTCTCTCTCTCTCTCTCTCTGCTGAGTGCTGACTTGAAGTCTTTGGATTTTGTTTTTGGCCCATTTGGAAAATCAATCCTCATAAAACAGAAGTATATCTCTATGTAATTATACCCACAAACAGTATTATAATTAATTAATTAACTCTAATCACTAATCAACTCTCTCTCTCTCCCCCTCCCAAAAAGTAAGAAGAGAAAAGGCAAAGTATATATGATCATATATATATATATATAACCTCCTCCATGAATGCTTCCTTGCTTCCTTAACAACCCATCTCCCTTGTTTTTTAAGCTCTGCATCATTCATTACTAGCAAATATCACTGACCTACCAAACAAACCAACTCATCAAAGCACAATCCTAGACAGGACATATTTTCCAATCCCATTTATGTATATGTTTTGCTTCCACCCTACACATCTCTGCTCTCTCTCTCTCTCTCTCCCCTCTCTATCTCTCTCTAAAAACTTGATCACTGCAAAACCCACATCCCAGAATACGATTCCGAGCTCCAATGTCTAAGGACCCGTCCCAGCCAGGCCCAGAAACCATGCCATT